GAGGCTTTGATCGCCAAGCCCCCTGCCCAGCACAGCAGCGATCTGCCGAGTGCCGCTGGCTTGGCACCGCGCAGCTCGGCCGCTGCTTTTCATTCCAGGCGGCGACGGACACACCCGTCTGCTGCCCCCGGGTCACCCCACCCCAAAGCTCTCCCCCCGGGGGAACCCATGGTCCCTCCCAGAAGGGAGAGAGGGGCCCACGCAGTGTGATTTGCAAAGAAGGGTGTGAATGGTGCAGCTGATGAGTAACTGAGGGCGGGGCTGCTGGTGTCTTTTTTTTCTCCGGCCGCCATCAGCTGAGACATAGAGGAAAGCTCAGAGCCAGCCCCTGCCTCTCCCTCCCCCATCCGCAGGGATAGATGAGGAGCCAAATCGAGGAAGCTTTTGCTCTCAGCTGCCGTTCAGGCAGATCCCTCCCTCCTCCCCCTTTCTATTTCTGAGCCAATTCATGTTGCAGAAAAGCAGCCCCCTTCCTGTATTGTCAGGCCTGGGAAGAAAAGCTGTCTCTCTCCCCATAGGAGGAGGGAGGCACTGGGCACTAGAGCGATTTCTTTGCCGAGAAACGTGCCCAAGAAACTACATGAAAATCGATGCCACCTCCGGCACTTGACAAAACACTTATTGCTAGGGAGTAGGGATCAGACACTCCATATATCATTTCAGATCCACAGCCCTGGTCTGGTGAGTTCAAGGGGGCTTTTAGAAGCAAATGTGGTTTCCCAGAAAAGTCAAGCTTGATCTTCTCTTTCAGGGGAACTTTATTGCCAAAGGATGGGGATGACTGAAGCTCCTGTATGATGTTGTGGTATATGTGTGTGTTGTTGAACTCACAGCTGCAACCTGATTTATGAATACAGTCTGAATTGATTTATGAATGCCATCCTTAATTCCCTCCAAAGGGCTGGAGACGCATGGGGTGAAGGAGGAACTCTGGTCCTGGCTCTTCTGTGACCTTGGCAAAGTCTTTGAACCTCTTTCTTCATTTTCCCTAGCTGTCAGCAGCAATAATAATTGTGCCTCTGGGTGGGACTGAGCAGATAAATGTTTATATAGCACTTTGAAGAATACCAGTTCTAGAGAAGTGCTAAAAAATGGAAGAGATTTATATTAAGTCCTTTGCCTTGCCAGTGCTGGGAACAGCACAGGTCCCAGTACAGATATTAAGGACCCTGGTGTTCTCCTCTGTCCATTGTGAAAATGGACGCTTCATTCCTACCCTTTGTTTTCTATCTTTTAATAACAGTGAGTTGTCCTGTGGCACCTTACAGACTAACAAAAATGTACAGTATCATGAGCTTTCATGAGCAAAACCCACTTCCTCAGATGAGCTGGAAGCATCTGATGAAGTGGGGTTTGCCCACAAAAGCTCATAATGCTATATCTAATCTATCTATCTATCTATCTATCTATCTATCTATCTATCTATCTATCTATCTATCTATCTATCTATCTATCTATCTATCTATCTATCTATCTATTTGTTAGTTGCTAAAGTGCTACAGGACAACTAGTTGTTTTTAAAGTTACAGATTAACATGGCTACCCCCTCTGAGACTTTTTATCTTTTAATCAGTCACAAAAAAGTTCTACTGGATGGGATGAGTGTCTTCTATAGCAAATTGTGAGCTGAGAGGCCTTAGTGGGCCATCCACACATAGCTGTCTAACTCTAATGGGGGGGGGGGGTGTCACCCTGGCATTGAACATATGTTTGAGATACAGATACATAGCTAATATTCATAATTCCAGTTAGAAAGCTAATACATGGATTTAACCAGGATAACCACACATAGTAGATTTTATCATGTGAGGTGGCAATGGAAAAGTTATGCTTTGTATGCAAGTTGTTGCAGTTGTGTAACAATGGGTCCACATCAGTGGGAGGCAGTGCTGACTCCCGCTATTGCTCATTAAAGGGGGAATTGCAATGTCACAGTCTATAACCAAGCAATTTATAAGGCCCAGCTCTGAGTCAGGGTGGGACAGAAAGACAAAGGTTTACCAGGGGTGGTTCAATAGCAGTTTAAAGCTCTGGCTGGGTCCTAGCCGGGAAGAGGTCGGGTCTCCTAGCTGGCAGAGAGCCAACAAGTGCAGGTGTTTTGCCCCCACAGGGGGAATCTGTCAGCTGAGGCGCACCCATTCCACTGCAACCTAGCCCAGGGCCCTGACAGTGGCAACATGGCAGCCACTGGGTCAGCAGGGATTTGGACAATAACACACCAGCCAGGTCTGTGAGTCAGTAGAGATCCGAGTTGCAATGTGCTGCACACCCAACCTCCATTTCCTCAGCTGCCATGGGGTCAGCCATCCCTG